CGCAGTTCCACAGTACAGTAAGTTTAAGAAAAATCATGTATATGTATATATGATTTAAAGGTTTCAAGCATGTATGTTTAAAAAGGTACATATGTTATGTATGTTAAGGAAACCGAGGTTGTAGCTAACAACCCTCGTTTTGAGTATTTAAGTTTTAGAACGTTGCAACAGAGCATGCAACAAATAAACAAATTTTAAACATGACGATTTAAACGATTGATTTTAAAAGGGCTTTAAGATGTACTTGAATTTAAGATTTCTCACAAAATTCGTTTTAAAGTCAAAATTAAATGGCCCGATTGAATTGGCTAGTTTTAGAAAGGCTTTTAAAGAGCATTTGAAATAAGAGTTCAAATGCTGTTCTGTTTGAAAGATATTTTTAGAACGTTTTATCTTAACTGAAATTAAGAAAAGCTTTAAGAAATTTAGTGATTCACTTATTTGAAATTATTGTTACAAATTATGAAAGTATTCTTTCTTATATTAAAAAAAAAAAATGTTCCGCAAATTTTAAGAAACCCCAGTAAGTACAAGTTAAAGTTTAAGTTACAGTGGCGGCCTCATAGGAGGGGCGTCACACACTCTCTCTCTCTCTCGTTTTGCTTCAAAATCAACCGGATCTCAAACCAAAGAGGAATTTCAAAGAGTTTCCAACGTCAAGAGAAAGATTTGAGGTAAGATCTCTCAAAAACCTCTCTTGAATCTCAGATTTTCGGATTTAAAAACTTTTTTTTGATTCGAAATATATTTTTATGGATTTTGAGTAAAACCATGGTAGAAATTGGAGATCTTGGGTTCTTTGGACTTGATTCAGTACCTAGAACCCAAATCTAGTGGTTGTCCCTTGAGATATTTTGATTTGGGACTGGATTTGCAGGTTTTCAAACTGATTTTTGTGAGTTTTCTCACACTGGTGTCTTTCACCAGTCGACCGGATTGCATTGGCCTCACCGGTCGACCGGATTGCACACCGCCGGTCGACCGGTGGTGATGCACTGCTCTGTCACCGGTCGACGGTGTACACGGGATTTGACCCCGTTTGGCCTGAAGATGCTGTTTTGACCTCTATTTTCGAGGAGAACCCAAATTAGTTTCGTTTGGGGACCTAGAATGAATGGGTTAGCATCTTTAATCCATGTTTGAGATTGAAAACCCTTGGAATGATGATTTGAAACATGAAACCGGTAATTGAATTATGGCACACTAATAGGAAATCAAAGGATATAATAGAGATTGAATTACTTTAGGACTGAGAATTGAATCCTAAAGTATTGCCTTGTATCAGTGATAGCTGAGGACTCGGATTGAGTGGCTTAAGGAAGTGGAAGCCAGAATAGTGCACCGCTAGCCACATGTTTGATGTTTATGAGGTATGATTTCTTACCATTTTCTTTGTGAGCCTGATTTTCAAAGAGTTTTGGCATTGCAAATGTTTTAAAGAAAGGGGCTTGTTTGCGAAAGAAAAGTATTTAAAACCCATGGCTTGTTGTAGTTCATGGTACTCATGGCTTGTTGTAGTACATAGGACCATGGCTTGGTGCAGTTCATGGGACTCATGGCTTGTTGTAGTTTATGAGATTATAATGAACGTTTTCATAAAGTTTAATGAATGATTTCTTAAGATAAGAGATCTTACAAATCGGTAAACTGGCTGATGGCCAAGATAGGATGTGGAGAGTGCATCCTTGGGGGCAGAACCCGAAACCCCGGGGGTGATATGGGTTGTGCACGTGGTTGTGTAAGTACTTTATCTTAGTATAAATTACTTGCTGATGCCTGTAATATGGTAATTTTCCGTTATATTTCCTTTGAGAAAAAGGATGTGAGGTTCCGACTGTTGTGTTGGAACTGAATGTCTTATTTATTTACTTATTCATTTATCTATTTACTCGCTCATTTATTTACTCATTGATTTGTAAAGTTATTTCAAATTATATCCTACTGGGCATTTCGCTCACGTTTTCTATGTTTCAAATGTATTAAACCCCTCCCCGGCGACTCTAGGAGCGGTGCGGAGTAGCTAGATCATTTGCTACCATTCGATCAAGTGAGGATTGTGTTCATCCTCTTGGATATATGTAAGAATTTAGAAATTCTGTAAACTCTGATATTTGGACTTCTAGACTGTGGTTGATGTATGTAATGTTATTTACATGTTCATGTATGTATGATACTGAAAGATCCTGTGGATAGATCCTGTAATTTATTTTAATTAAGTGTGAGGCTCGTTGGGAATTTATTTTATTATCATGCGTTTAACCCCTAATCGAGCTCCACGTCACCGACCCCTGCTTCGAGGCGTGACATAAAGTTTCCCAAATACTTAAATAAATAAATCAAAAGAATAGCCCAAGTTGGGGGGGGGACTACAAATGAGGTATCTGTTAAAGTATTAAACTATTGTTGGCCCACCTGGCTGGACAATGGGCAATCGTGTGGGTAAATTAATTGGAAAGCCCAACATGTGAATATTTAAGCCCGAGATATATTAAAGACCCAACACATGACGACAATTTAAATGGGGATAAAGAGTGCAATTACGGGGGTTTGAACTCAGGACCTCCTTCTCTGATACCATGTTAGTTTACCAATCCATCCCAAAAACTTAAATTGTTAGGAGGTGGGCCAACAATAATTTAATACTTTAACAGTATCGTTGTCTTATAAAAGACCTCTCTTATAGGTTTTTTAACAACTTGCTTTTTTAGATTTCAGTAAAATGTGTCGCTGTATAATAATTTACGGGGCAAAGATTTACACCACGCGATTTTGACTTTTCCAGTGCAGATTTTCTTCATTTATATGTATAATTTAAAGTAAAAACACAAAGATGTACAATCATGATATTTAATTAACTTTGATTTTGGCAGATTTATTGTGTAATTAGTGATATAAACTTCAGATTAGAGAGAGTGGAGACCTGATTTGGCTTGAAAATTCCAGTAACTAACACTATTCACATAGAGTGATGCAAAATTTACAGGTTATGAGGGATTGGACTGTTACTTTCACTTAGAGTTGTTAAGGTTTGCAAGGCGTTAACTGAGAATATTCGATACCTTTTCGTTTTCTTCTCCAGCTTCTGAGGCACCAGATGAGTAGAGTAAACAGAATGACACTTCCACTAACAGATGCAACAACTGGAATTATGTACTTCTTCTTCTTCTTCTTCTTCTTTTTACCGCACGATCCCGACAGACATGGATTCAGGTATGTATCAATGCTGTATGAAGAATATTTACATCAATACAACGTATGTGTTTTACTACGAGCTATGACCCGGTCTTGGGGGAACAATATATTATCAGATTCCATAATCGAAAATTACAGTTCTGGCGTAAGGGCAGACCTTAATGATAGACCGTTTTTCGATCTTTGAAGAAGTGCATCAGGAATTGGACCCGTAAGGTTGTTTCCTTGTAGGTTTCTGTATAGAGAAAATGTAATTTAGTAGATTCCTAAAAATTTAGGTACAATAAATTACAAAATGATCTGACTAGCTAATATTTTCTTACAAAGTTCTCAAATATTTCAGTTGAGCTAGGAATTCAGGTACTTTCCCGTCTAAGCTATTGTTTGACAGATCCCTGAAATTAAATTACAAATTCGTCAAAAGGAAAGCAGAAAAATTAACAAACAATACTTGATCGTATATGATCATTTTTGGTTAATCCTGAAAAATTCGTCATGAGAGATGGAGATATTTACAAATATTGTATCATAGCTAGATCATCTATGTAAGGAGAGATTTCCCCCTTCAACCCACTTGAGGACAAATCCCTGATGTCAAGCAAGTTCCACAATTCATTTCGTCATTTATATATATAAAAAAAGTTCAAGAATATATTTTGTCAACGGATGGAGTTTTTATCTTGATAAACTATTTTTTTTTTCTTTCCTCAAACCAATCAAATACATACAAGGATATGATTCGAGGCAGATTATTAGCGTCATAACTGCAATCGAGGCCATCCCACAAGTAGGCCTTGGGAACGCAAGGATCTCCTTGCCAGTTTTTCTTCACTCCATACTCCGACTTGATATTCAGAGTAGCATTAACTACAAGGAAAAATAACAAAATTAAAGCGATATTAATAACAACAAAAGTGCTATCAATATTTAACAGATAGAGAAGAACAATATTTCGTTTAAAAGTGTACCATCGTTTTCATTTGTTCCTCGTTGGGATAGCTCCTTAAGCATGAAAATCTCCATGGCATTTATAAGGGGTGGTAGTGTTGAATTTTCTGTTTGGTTAATCCAGACCTGAATCACCCCTTCGCTATCAGGTGTAATAATTGGATCAGAAATGGCGGTATACACTGAAACTATGCGCAAGTAGTACTGATCAAGAGGAATATATCCTGGCGGCAGCAAATCCCCGTTTATATAAATATTGAACTCTCTAGATTCGTTGTTGTTGATCTCCTGTAGTTCCGCAAAGTGCATATAGAAATAATATGGAGATGTACGGTTTGGAGGCTTCCAATTGAATCCCATATTGTTACCACTTGAATTGCTGGTCCCACTTGGTGTGTAGGCAGTATTCAGCACCTCAAGGGGTGGTTGGAAGATGGTCTTGCCTAAGGAGTTCTTATCAGCGAGGGAATTATTTAACGCTGTCCAGGTGGTATCTTTTGAAAAAGGTGACCACAAGCGATCATACACATCGTCTTGATACCTATATAGATGTGAATGATTGTTACTCTCATCACATTTTTAGTTTTCTAATATTCATGACATCGTAATCACTTTAACTAGGAGTGTTAATTAACCGATTCTGTGGATTAGGCTCATGATTGATTGGTGGGTTGGAGGCTTCATTGATTGATAACAGATTGAGATTTTTCCAATCTGAAGGTAACAGGTTGAATTAAGATTGACACCTAACTTGTGTAATCTGATTCATGAACACCCCTAATTTTAACCATTCATTTTAACTAATTGTTGCGTATTCACATGTTAATTTTGAGATATACAAAATTTAATATAAACACCGTACGTGGTTTTATGAATTCTTAAAAGGAAACAAAAGAGAAGAAATTACTTTTAGTATAAATCAAAACAACCCCAATTACCTGGTCGCTTCATTGCTTGTCGTACCAAAATCATACCGCTTAAAGAGTTGTAGTGCTGATCCACTTTGACTTCGGTAAATTTGGCTGTCTAAAGGCCTCAGCTCTAACGCTGATATAAATGGAACCCCATAGCCCGTGTTCACTAGACAAACATATATGTAATTTGATGATGGAACATGTATTATTTCCATGTCTACCGGAGTCCCTGCAAACTCAAGGTTTACCGTGTCCCATAAATGAACCCCGAGATACAAGTCAAACACTGGGAGATAGGCTTTGTTGTCATAGTTTCCGTACAGGAACCTTGATCGGATCAAATACCTTGTATCTTTTCCTTGTACAGGTTTCAGGATGTAACAATTTCTGATTCCTTCTGGGAAGCTCCGAACGTTCCAGAACTGCTGTATTGCGGTTTGCAGTTTGTACCCGGGTGATATCTCATGGCTTTCGCCGGTTTCTGTGAAGTTCGAGTCAGAAAGGTAACCGATGCCCGTCGTTTCATCTGTGTAGTTTGAGCCATCCAATATTCCGCAGTCAATGCTGATGAAATTATCTGATGAAGGACAGCAGTATTAGCCACATGCTTGTTAGGAATTAACACTTTCAGATGGTAATTAGCTTTAAGAAAAACGTTAAATAAGGCAGAGATCAATATTGTTGATAACCTGACTTGCCCTGAGCCTGAACCAGAACTGTAAGAATTACCAAAGCGCGTTGCAATATTGCAAAGAAGAAATGCTTGGATAAGTTTGCCATGTCAAACAGAAATCTCCTCGCAGGGCAAATTAAAACGTAATTAAGGGTGGCTAATTATTGGTTTGATATCTGCACATCCACATATGTTGTTGACCAGGTTTTATTGCCACTGACCAATATGAAGGCTCCCCATTTATCAATACAATTAATATTTAGAGCTTAGTGATTACTAGTTATAAGCCCTTATATGAGGGCAATTTCAGGGTATATATATATATTATATAATCGCCATAGATAAAATATAAACTCCAAAGTCTATGTTGATTATTATAGCATGCTGGTTTCTTTTTCTTTTTTCAATATTATACCCAATATTTTGAGGCTATTAATAAACATACCTTGTAAGGTATTTTGGACTGTATTAAATTTACACTTTCATATTTCAGATTTTTGCTTGCATGGTAGTTGTTGACAACTTAACAACTTTATATATATACACTAAACAATGTTGTCTATCATTATATTTAATATTTATTAATCCTATATAACAAAATACCATGCTATAGCCAAAAAAAAAAAAAAAAAAAAAAAAAAAGAGAGAGAGAGAGAGAGCTACGCAACAAGTTTTAACACACGCCCACAATACTGGTGCTCCAATATTACTTGTATGGTGCCGTATGATAAACAACGTTACTCATTAAAATCAGAGTCATTGTCTCCTAGATTTAAAATTCGAAGAAAGCGAAAGCTCTATGAAACTTTCAACATGATCAGTTTATAGGTGTATGATTGCTTCAGCAGTCCGTATTACACGCGTATCACCTTAGTTTACTTATGCTTTAGTAGATGGAGACTGGGATCTTAGAAAATTATATTCTGCTTCAGGTACTTTCCTTTTTCTAACTTATCTTAAAACTAATATACAAAAGCAATGGTTTGCGCAAAAGAGAAAAAAAAAATCCAACTTGGCTGCCTGACGCATCTCCTATATTAATCTTTTCAATAGTTCAACGAGCATGTAATGGCATTGCATCGTTAATCCAAGTTATAATTACAAATACAAGAAGAAGTGAGAAGGAGAAAAAAAGATTATTATTGTCATTACACACACCAATAAAGCTTAGACCTCCTTTGTTGTTGTTGTTGTTATTATTCTTATTATTCTTATTATTCTTATTATTCTTATTATTATTATTATTATTATTATTATTACTACTACTACTATTATTATTACTATTATTACTATTATTACTATTATTATTACTACTATTACTATTACTATTACTATTATTACTATTATTATTACTATTATTACTATTATTATTACTATTATTATTATTATTTTCGTTTTTAAGGATTATGTAAACCTTAGACTTAGTCGTGATTTTTTTTCCCCTTTTATCCCGGGATGTTGATTGTATGGATTAAACTATGACCAAAATATTTCTCAAACAAGACTTTGGATTTAAGAAATTATTTATAAATAGTGACAGGTTTTAGTGAAAGGTTTTTTTTTTTTTTTTGTTTTTTTTTGTTTTTTTTTTTTGCATTTCACAGAGTACATGACAAATATCTATAAATATAGCGAATGATCGTTAAATATTTCATGTTTGCCAGTAATTGGGCAACGGTCTGGTTGCATTGACGCGCAGGTGCAGCATAGAAAATTATCCAAATTATAACCTTTTTTAAATAACAATAACAAAACTATTGAAACTTGATAATATTTTTATGATGGTTGACTTTTGGAGCTGGTTATCATTATTATTCCATAGGAAAATGAATTAGGTTCTAAATCACGATCATCATGGGGTAATTAAAACGGGACAACTCTTCACTTGTTTTTCATCCCAGTTATTTTATTCTCAGTGAATAAGAGAAAATTAATGAAATTACTCTTACAGTGCATGTGCCTAGAATTTTACTCATTATTCTGTTTAATACTTTTTTTGACTAATATAGTTATCCAAAATACAAGCTCAGGGCCAAAGACATGAAATCATGACTAAAAAGAAAAGCTAAATTAGATGTTGAATAAAAAAGGAGGGAACTTTTCCATAAAAATAATTGCATATTAGACCTCATTAAGAAATTTACCAACATGTTATACGGAATTGACATGCTATTGTAGCTCCCTCACCTCCCTGGACTCAGGGCCAGTTTGGTATTGTTGTGTTGTTAAAATTTTTTACTGTTGTTGTGCTATTAGAAATAAGTTGTTATTACTAGAAGCATATAGGTGTTTGATAAAATTTTAACAAAACTACTGTAAGTACCAAAAACAGAAATTTAAGTGTTTGGTAAATTGTGTATAAAATTATTGTGGAAATGTATAACAACGAAAGTAGACATACTTTAGCAAACATATTTATAATTAGTTTTATTTTTATTTTTATGGTAAATATTCATAATGTAAAAAATATAATTTAATTTTATAAATTAAAATATTTCTTAAAAAATTACTTTTATTGAAGAGGAAAAATAATTCAACTACTAAATTTCTTATTTATTGTTTTTATTTTTCAACATTTTGCTAATATTAAAAATATTTGAATTGAATTTAGCAGAGTATACATGTTAAAGATTTTCAATTTTTAAAAAACTATTATAAAAATATATGTTTTTTAATTTGGTATGGAAAAAGTAAAATATGTAGATTGAGAATTTAGTATTAAGGTTATCTTAGTGAATTTGGACAATGGCAGCATAAGCTGTTGTGAAAAAGGAACCCATGACATGCTTTTCAAATTCTATTGTTTGATAGCAGTTTCAAGCAGCTGCTGGACAAAAGCATAATTTATGAAACACCTTAATCTATTGTAGCTTTTTTATTAAAAAAGAAGAAGAAGAAGATAAAAGCAGCCTCTAAAAGCAATACCAAACATGCCCTCCGATCTTATGTCCAATTTTGATGTCCCAATTGGTGTCTAACTAATCATATCATGCCAAATCGCATAAAAAATTTAAACTGCCTTTTAACTAACATTTTTGTACTTATTATAAGATGATATGGTAAGATTTAATTAGTTATACTCCAATTAGGCCACCAAATATTGGACAGAAAATCTCGATCTCCCTGGCCCCTTTGCCTCCTTCCAATTTTCCCTTGTACTAAAGAAGCTCTTATAGTTGTACAAGACTGCTTATTTGTCTGACACTAAATGTCATAACCGAGAAATTTATCAGAATTATTGTATAGGATAATATTCTCTAGAATCCTTTGTATCATTAATATAAATACTTTTATGATAAGTATTTGTTGATATAAGTATGAAATAGCAAGTTATAAGCTTAAGTTCAGAAATTTCTGAACTACGATGCAGTTACCGATTTTCAGACTGTATTTAAGAAAGAAGTATGAAATGTTGTGTTAAGCCCACAAGTGGGTAAACACATGAATGATAAGTTTAAGAAATGGAAAAGAATTAAAGGATATCAATTCTAGGGTTTTAGAAACAGCCAGAACGAAAAACAGACAAAAAAGGGGTTTGAAAGGCCGAACTGAGAAAATTAGAGTTTTGACTGATTTGAGTTGACCGAGTCAAAATTTGTTGACTAAGAGTCGACCAAAATATCGCCCTTAAAAAGTTAGTCAAGAATGGTCAAGGTTGACTAAGTTGACCATCTGTCCGAAAAACGTGTATAAAACGCGTATTGGATAGGAATTAAACTGAACCAAAAAATGATAATTATAAAATTATCAATGGTTGAGATTTAAAGTAATAAAAGGTTGGATGCATGATATTTTGACAAGTGGACAAAGCAAGGAAGGGCAGCGGTCAACTCTTTGTGGAAGCAATAGATATTTGTGAATTTTTTTGCAAAAAGGTGCTTGAAAAGTCAAAGTTTACAAAAATTGGTCCTTTCTTTTGTGATAGTCGGTTCAGGTGAGGAACTAAGGCATATATTGGCCATTTGTACGTGGAAAAGAACCAGAGAGCATCCAAGAAGAATAGAGAGGAAAAAAAATTTCCAACGTGAGAAAAAGTGAGTTAGACCAAAAATCGACGGACTAACTGAGGCATTGCATCACCGAAGATTGACCTTTGTTTCCTAAAGTGATATTTCAAGATTTTCTCTTGTTTTCCTTTTTCTTTGCTGCCGTGGATGTGTAGAGAAGAGTAGGGAAAAATTTTCTAGAGGTAGAGATTTTACTTGAAATGGTTTGAGAACATGGAATCTAAGAATCTAAGGTTAAATTTTTGGTTATTTAACCTTGGTTTCTAGCAATTTTGATATAGAGAATTATATTGGAAAAGTTGAGAAAACCCTAAAACCATGATTAAGATTTATGGTGTATTTGAAAGAGAAAGTATGTGATTTATGTTTGGTGGTGGAAACAATGGATAAAACGAGCTAAGGTTAGCTCGGGAAACATGCAGAAATAGGCGGAACTCTGCCGAAATTTAGTTTGAGTATTTTGAACTAAAGCCGGATTTCAAGAGGAATAAGGGATTAAAGTGTGAAAAGAAAGGTCTTTCGATAATCGGTGATGTATAGAAACCGAACACAATGAGAATTTACAGTTTTGAACCGAAACTGAAAATTAGGGCCACGACTGAGGAAAGTGCATGGTTTTAGTGCAAATTCTAAAGATAGGAAATATTTTGGGATTAAATACCAAACATAAGGATGGTAGACCTTTCCGAATTGAATTTTAATTGTATTATTGATCTTAGATTTTGAATCTAATGATAAAAAAATTATGCAATAGGATCGATTAACGATTGAAGTCGGAAAGCATCAAGTGAAACAAGGGAAGCATTGATAGCGAAACTTTGGTAAGTACATTAGTTTTTCTATGGCTATTTCACGAACAAGCTTTTTTTTCTGTGTTGCACAAACATTGTGCATATGTTAGAATTTTGAATGTTGATACAATGTTATGCATGTATCTACAAGACTTAAGTAGCCGTAGAACTTTATTCTGCGAAAAGTATGTATCGATGTTAAGTCGAGGTCAAATTAAGAGAAAAATTTATGTGGCGACCCTCCTATGAGGCCGCCACTGTAACAAACCTTTTAACTTGTACTTACTGAAATTTTTTAAAATTTACGGAACATTTTTTTTTAAAGGGTCTTATAATAAACATAAGATACGAAATTGCTTTCTTAATTAAAATATTCAAACTTTAACATATATGTTTCAGAATCATAATTAACAAAACTATTTATAACATAAAGCTAATTGCGGAAATATTTGCGAGCGGTATTCATATCCTGAGCCCCACATCGTTCGTCCACTCGCCGGCAGTCCATCAGGCATTATATGCCGGTTGCTTACCTACAGTATAAACATTCTATAATGAGCTTTCACTCAGCAAGTAGGAACTACCACTCGCAAAATAACTATAAGTTCACATGAATAAATATGCATGAGCCAATTATGCTTAATTATGATGTCTTATTAGAATCTTATTATCTTATCTTATCTTATCTTATCTTTTGGGCCCGAGTGCTCATACCACTTACGTGCAATCATCGGGACGTGAGGGTTTGCAAGGTCCCCCACGACACCATGATTATAACTGAACTGAATGCCTCCCTTGCGAAGGACATTATATTTTTTTCTTTTCTCCCTTGCGGAGCTTGAGTTACCTCCCTTGTGGAGGCTGGTACGGCACTCAACTGAGATCATTCTTATAAGTTCCTCTTGACTTATTAAGGTGAATGCAATATGACCTAGCATAGCATACTATATCATGTACTCGAACACATATAATTCGGGTGTACTGCTTAAGTGTATGTAGTATAACATAGCATAGCATTTATAACATTAAATGTACTCAAACATATATAGTTCATGTGTACTGTTTACTTTAAAATCTATTTATACTGTATGCGAGATTCCTACTTACTTGATTTTCAAAGCTGGGATCCCCTTTTCCCCTATCAGCCTAGTCTTTTACTTTCTTCTGAAAATGAACACCCATTAAGAGTGTGAGATTAACTGTTATTTGCTATTCTATTTTAGCAACTTATGAAGGAAAATCTAACCCTTTCCTTAAGGCATATATTCATTTCCTTTACTAAAGGATAATAAAGATTAATTTATTAAATCCTCAAAATCTTATTTTCCTTAATTTCTCTTGCTATGATATTAAGGCCCAATTCGGCCTAGGGCTTATACATGGCATTCTAACTTTTATGCCGCTGAAATTTATACTCCAACGGAGTCTCTTAAACTAATGTGGGCATTGGACCCACATTAAATCTTCAAAATTCTACGGACCTATCGTATTGGGCTCGTAGGTGGCCGTCGGGATAATTCGCTCGGTAAACCACTATGTTCTTTAAAGAAAGCATTTTTCTTTGAAAACTTCCTTTATGAATACTTTCATTAAAATGAGGTTTAATGTCATTGTATTTTACTGGAATTCTATCTCGGGTTCTTTTATAACTTTTTGTTGAAACCGACACTGTTTTAGTTTTGTCTTGTTAACAACTGTGCAGTTTCTGAAATCTGCATTTTACTGTATCTTAGAGTTAGATTTCAAAATTTTCTTCTTCGTAAAAATTCCTCATCATGAACCACAAGTTACACCATGAATTCGTGCTTAAGGTTGGCTAGAAAAATAATGGAGAAGAGTTTAAGAATCTTACCCTTAAAGAGTTCTCTCTCTTGAAAGCCTTTGATCTCCTCTAAGATTCGTTAACGGCTTGAAACTAGAAAATGATAAGGAAATTTGAGAAGAATATTTCTACATTTCCAACTTTACTAAAACATGAAAAAGAGAGAATTTTAGAGTTTTTACCCTTGGAGAAATGCTTGTCTAGACTCCTCCTTTTCTCATTCAACTTAAACTAGGATTTGTGGTGAGATTTATGGGAACTTTTGAGTGTGCGTGAGGTAAGGGATGGCTTGGTTTTGGTAAGGGAAAAGTTTAGAAAACTTGAAGGTTGGAGCTTTGGAGAACCGGTTTTGGATATGGAGAAGGAAGTGAGATAAAGCAAAAGTTAGGCTTAGATCACATTGGTTCTATTTATAGACCACTAGGTTATTACCTCCTTTAGTCTACTTAACTAAACAAAATTTTGCTTAAAACCCCTTGAAGATGGCCGGCCAATGTGAGAGAAAGAGTGAAGGAAGAAAATGTCATGATTTCCTTTCAATCACTACTATCACATCAATCCTCTAGCACACTCAACATTTAACCAAAATTTTTTGCTATAAATCCCTAAGAATGGCCGGGCAAGTGAAGAGAAAAAGGAGAAAAAAACTAATCATGAGTCCTATTCACCTCTCTCATCACATCACATCAAATCACACACACTAACCTACCCCTTGTACTTTTGTCCATTCCCTTAAGTTACTCTTTAAAACTGTCCAAAATTATACTGACAGCTATTTTCTCCTGTATACGGGTACTGGATGCTAGTTTGTACTGTGCTGGGAGATTCTTAAAATTAAGATTCTCAAATTGTATCTATACTGGAAATTCTTTCGTTTTAAAGCACAATGAGAATTTATCGATCGAATTTACTTGATCGGAAAAATGTGAACTTAACGTGAAATCTGCTACAGAATTTAGGAATGCAGATGTTAATTCCATAAATCCTTCAATCACAAAATGTACATAGTATAATGATTTTACAGGAAAATCCTTGACTTAAATACATGAATTACATTATTGAAATTCTGGGATTTTCTTAGTCACTACAAGTTAAGTGTTAACGAAAAGTTAATCTCATGATAAATAGCTCAAAAATGAACAAATTCATAAGATTTAACAAAAGTTACCGTTTCAATAAGAAAATTGATAAACGGTAAGAGACCAAACGTCCTGTTTATACCAGCCTTCAAAGGAAAGGTTATTATGAGACTATGAAAGAAATGAAACCCCACTCCTCACTGGTTATGCGCGCTATGGTACAACAGGACATGACACACAAGAAGTAAAAGACAAGAAAATGAAAAAACCAGAAACCGCCCCATATAAAGGTACGGTATCTGTAAAGAAGAATGAAAAGAAAGAGAAATACGAAATGAAAGTCATTCAGAATGTGAAAACACAATATGAACGACTAGAATGAGACGAAAGCAGACCAGAGTATGTAATGAAAGAAGAAGAACATAAGCCATATATGTTTTAGTAGTACAAAATGTATTATGATAAATGGCATGAATGCATATATGGCTATGCATAATTATTGCATCTGTTATGACCTATTGATACTTGCTGAGCGAAAGCTCATTAAGTTTGTTCGTCTTGTAGGAAACTCGGGTAAGGCACCGGCTCCTTGAAACTTGTTGATGGGTATGCAGAGAGGATGTAGTAGTGGAGTGTGGGCAAGTGGGTTGTGGATGCATAACGTATTTTGGAAACGCTGTTAAACTTTATGTGTAAAAAGTAAATAGTATTTTATGAATATAAATAAGTTATGTAACGAAAGTTAAGCTTATGAGACAGTGAGGCTATGCATAGCAACCTCTAGTCACAAGGTATAACTAATGTAACAGAATACTGTCAGAATGCTACAACATTTTAGGTATGACTAATGTAACAGAATGCTGTTAGAATGCTAGCTAAATGCTACAACATTTAGACGTACATGATAAGAATGAAAAAAAAAATTGGCTTGAATTTTTAAGACGTTATAACTAGTAAGTAGTAGAGGTTAAATATGAACATAGGATGATGATCAAAAGTTAGGGTCGTCACACTAAAATATGTTCAACCAATAATATATTTGAAAACAAACCAATAAGTACAACTGCATGCATGTTATATTTAAACACATGCATGGATCATGTATGTGTTTTAGATACAGCTTATGGAAATAAAAGAACATTGCATAAGGATTTAAGCACGCAATAATGTCTAGATAGGGTACAATATGGACAGGCGAAAACAAGGCAGGAAGCGGGAAATAACTAAACATTCAACACTGGTCTTTCTTTTACTTTTATCAATTAACTCAACAAGAGCATTAATCTTTCTTCATCACGAATGATCTCCCTTCTTTCTTCTGTGCGGTCACCTGGCTCGGGGAGACAGTGAGAGAAAATTGTTGGCAACCATTTCAACTGAATCTTTTGAATATTCAGCGACACTATGGCCATCCTTTCCTGATAATTCCGTTGCCAAACATTCCTTCAATTCAATTGTCACCCGACTCATGGTTGGTCTACTGGTGGAAGTTCTGGAGACACAAGCCATTGATATCTCAATAAGTTTCCAGGCAGAATTGATACTAAAATCTCCTTCCAACCTTGGATCAAGAATATTTTTAATATCCCCCTTGCCAAGCATGGAACTAACCCATTCAATTACGTGATTATTCTGTTGTGTTTTTGCCAACACAGGTCGAGCTGTGATAATCTCCAGTAACATAACCCCAAAGCTATATACATCACTTTTCTCATTCAACGAGTTTGATATGTAATACCTGAAAACGAAATATGAAAATCAATTTTCTTGTTGCCCAAGAATCGATCTAATTTATTCATTCTATTCTTTTTTTTTTTTTTTTTTTTTTGGGTTTAAAAGATTGCTTACTCAGGATCAATATACCCGGGTGTGCCAGCAATGCTTGCTGTTATACCTACAGGAGTGCTAGTAGCACCACTTGCTATATAATTGCCACCCTCAGTGGGGAAAAATTTGGCGAGGCCAAAATCACCTAGTTTTGCTTGCATCCTTTCATTCAACAAGATGTTAGTAGACTTAACATCTCGGTGAACTATCTGTGGCTTACAACCATTATGCAGGTATTCCAATCCTACATTTCAACAAACACAGATCATGTATCTAACAGAAGACAAAAACTAAAGATAAAACGTTTTTAAAAGAAAGCATGATGAAAATATTCATCCTCCATTATTTCCAACCTTGTGCAGTGTCTATTGCTATTCGAAGCCTGTCTTCCCAACTCAAGATGTTCTTACTGCTGCCTACATCCGACAAAATTGCAATCAACAACGTTAAATAAATTGACCTCCTTTCCTATCTCGTTTATAGAAAGCAGTATGTACTTGATTTCGGAATAATCCCATCTAATCATATAAAAGGGTAAAATGTCACTGCCTAGCTTATTAAATAATGCCAGTAGTGAACAAACCTGAAAGATGTGATCGTAAGTTTCCCATGGCCATGTACTCATAGACAAGAGCGATATTTGATGCCTCGTTGCAATACCCGATGAGGGTAGTCAAATTTTTGTGATGAACCCTCAGAAGTAGTTTGAGCTGTAAATTTAAGTTAGTCATGACATCTAAGTTAATTTCATTATATGCAGATATAGGTATTGCTCTCTACACTTTTGTTACATAAGTTAGGGTAATTAACATGCCTCAGCATGAAATTGTCGATGCCCTTGAACCGATGATGGGGAAAGTATTTTAACCGCTACTTGAATGCCATTTAAGTATCCATGGTAAACCTTGCCAAATCCGCCTTCGCCTAGTACCCTCTCAAAGTTGTTGGTTATTCTTTGGATCTCGGGGTACGTAAGCTCTTGCTTTTTAGAGACAAATGATGGGAAGTATTCTTCATTGGATTCCACATTTACGGTATCAACTGTACAAACAATCACCAAAATTTGATTTCGAAAGGTACACGTGAAAAGCCATATAATGAAACATAAAACATAAGAGTAATCATACACAAACATATGTTTTCAACGATGCCTTCAGGGGATAATGAATTCTAAGTAAGCAGAAGATTGAAAATTCTGAATGGACCTGGTAAACATCTGTATTCTGAATTCTAACCTCTTGAATCCTTAGTTTTTTGTTGTTTTTTCCGGTTAAGGGCCCAAAGTACAGCCAGCAAAGTTAAGATGAGGAAAAGTACTCCGCCCAACGATGCAACCAGCGGAACAACAAAGTTAGTTTTCTTCTTTCCGCATGACCCTGACGTACATGGAGTGCTACTCGGACTTGTGTCGATGCTGTTGAAAAGATCAATTAACTATTATTACCTGTCGTACATAGTTTCATAACTATTTCATGGCAATATGGGGCGTAACCCCTGTATTTTAGGTTTATTTAAAATTTATGCCTTTAATTTTTAATCTCATCAAATGTATACTTTCAAATTAGATTTAATATGAAATTATCTTATATTGGTCAATAATTGATTTTGACCTTTAAAATGACCAAACTATCCTAGAGAAAAAAAGAAAAAAAAAACCAAAATTTTCCAATATTACAAAAAAATAAAGATTAAAAACACAAAAAAAGCCCATTTCAATGGTAGTTTGCAAATTTTTGAGGTCAAAACCATAAGTTTAAAGTTTTTTTTTTAATTTTTTTCTTTTTTCATTTTTTATTCAAGGGTATATTAGGCATTTTAAGGTTAAAATCATAGGCTGATTATGGAAATGTATACATTTAGGTATAAAATTATCTAATTTGAAGGTATATATTTAATGAGATAAAAAACTTGAAAGTATAGCTTTTGACTAAACTCAAAACAAATGGTATAAAATGTTAAATATCCTTAAAAAAAATTAATAAAGAAATTGAGTTGCAATTTCTTTTTAGGGAGAAAGAGGAAAATAGGCCAAGACTTGAGATGAATTAAAATTAATAAGCCAATAGTTTACATAAGTTAATAAATAGGCCAAATTACTATTTTCATCCATAACTTGTCTGACTATGAACCATAACTTGACAAGTTTGTCCATAACTTATCTAGTTATGAGCCATAACTTGATAAGTTATGGCTTATTAATTTCTATAACTAAAAAATGACCTATATACTTTCTTAAGCTTTTCATATTGGCCTATTTTCTACTATTTTCCTTCTTTTTAGTCTAAGAGAGATAAGATGGATTATTTATTTCCGCATAGGGCAGACCTTAACAAAAGGCCATTCTCCGCTCTTTTAGTAAGTGCATCCGGAACTGGACCTGTAAAGTTGTTTCCCTTTAAATTTCTGAAAAGAGACAGAAAACATGATTTGTGATTGATTTATTCTATCATCAAGTTAAAATAACAATATAAAATCAAGGGAAAGAAACCTCATCATTACTTACAAAACTCTCAAGGATGACAGTTGAGCTAAAAATTCAGGGATTGTTCCAGTCAGGTTGTTGTTTGATAAGTCCCTGATATCAGTAAATTATAGCTAAACTTGTCCAAAAGTCCAGTGATGGCAACACTTAATAAAATAAACTAATTAAGAGTTAAATTTGTTATTGGGATCGAATTTTACTTTCCAAATTATTATGTGACTTTTTAAATATTAATACTTACAATATTTTTAACATTTTCAGGCTGGCAATGGAAGGAGCAACTTCTCCCTTTAATCCGCTTGATGACAAATTCCTGATTTCATGGTAAAATAATACTGGTTAACAAGAATATTTTAAGAGGGGTAATATGATTTAGAATATTTTTTCAATCAAAGACATACAAAGAAACAATTCTATGCGGACTATTGGCATTGTAACTGCAATTAAGACCGTCCCATAGGTAAGTTTCAGGGGCACACGGATCTCCCTGCCAGTTTCTCTTTAATCCGTACACCAACTTGACATCTGAAATAGCTTCCGCTGATATTCGTATTGACAATAATAGAAAAAAAAAAAGTCATGAAACAAACACTAGAAAAGAACAATAACTACAAAAGAAAATAATTTTTCGATCGAAATGCATATACCATCTGCTTGACTTGTTGTTTGTTGCGAGAACTCTCTCAGCACATACATTTCTAGCGCATTTATTAGCGGCGGTAGAGTTGAATCGTCAGTGCTATTAAGCCAAATATTAAATGTTCCTTCACTGTCAGTTTTGCTGCCTGGGTCGCTGTATATTGTGAACGCACTTAAGTACCTGGGAACAAATGGTCCGTACCACACAGCCCCATTGATGTAAATATTGAACTCTCTAGATTGGTTGGCTTGGAGCTTTTCTAGTTCCGCAAAGTGCATGTAGAAGAAGTAGGTCGCGGAGCTGTTCAACTTTTTCCAATTTATATACAAGTAACGAGTAGTTTTGTTTCCTGTATAAGCAGTGTTCATAACAGTGAATGGTATCTGGTAGCTATTATTGGATATAGAGTTCTCATTGCTAGAGGATGTAGTAATTACTGGTTTCCACACGAGTGGTGACCATACACGACTATACATATCATCTTTGTACCTATACGTAAAGAAAAAAAAATTATTCCACCAGTGTTTTTTAAACCAAAGAACCCTATCTTTAGTTATTTCGTTTAAAAAAAAAAAAAAATAGAAAATCAAGAAATAAGGCAGTAAATAAGAACATATGTAAATCGGGGGAACGTGTAACCTCATTGTTTCGTCTGTTTCTGAAGAAACATCATAGCGACCGGAGAGTTCAAGTGACGTTCCTGATTCACTTGCATAAATGTCGTCCTGTAGAGGCCTTAGTTCTAACAGTGATATGAATGGAATTCCATTGCCTGTGTTTACCAGACAAATATGTATGCGATCGGATGAAGGAACATAAGTAATTTCCTTGTTTATTGGAGTCTCTGAGTCCTCAATTACCACTGTAGCCCAAAGCTCAACTCCGATGTACAAATCGAACTCCAATACTAAACGGCCTTTGTTATCGTAGTTTCCATACAAGAACCCTGCTCGGACAAGGTACCTAGTACCATTTTCTTCAGCCAAAGGTTTCAGGGTATAACAGTTTCTTGATCCTTCGGGAAAGCTCCGGAGATTCCAAAGCTGCTGCTGATTATTCTGCTCTTTGTATGCTGGTGAAATGCCCCGGTTTTCGCCTGTCTCTGTGAAGTTTGCATCTGAAAAGTAAGTGATGCCGGTTGTTTCGTCGGTGTAGCTTGAGACATCAGATATCCCGCAGTCTATGCTAATGAAACCTGAAAAGATTTAGATGGATTAGTACCTATATAAGAAAGATTTTGAAGGAGTTAGTGGTAGTTAAATTAGCTTGGAGAATGTTAAACCTGATGAGTCCTGAGCCTGAATCAGAAATGGAAGAACAACCAAAGTAACTTGCAATATTGAGACAAGAAAATGCTTGGAAATCACCATTTCTTAAACGCTCCTCGGATCCTAAGGCCAGATTGATTTCTTGCTTTTGTTGCTATAGGTATAATTTTGCTCCCTGCATTTCGCTACGCGCTTTACATCTTATAATAATACGAAATATTAGACTTATTGTATTTGAAAATGACAATCAATTCTCAATACTATACACAACCGCACTGGGAAGATGAAAACCGGAAAAAAAAAAAAAACCGTTAATAAATTATCATCAACTTACATATAATTTAATATGTAGATGGTACATTTTCATGCCATCAGCTTTTGATGACGACGATTGATACACCAGCTCCTTATTTGAACCATTCATAAGTCTGCTAGATTTAATAATTACCCAAAAGAAAAATTCCACGGACAACACATGAAGACTTGTGATTATACAAGTACTTATATGCAAGGTTTGAAAAATCGACATTGTCCACCGACATTTCCGTAAAAATTTCCAAATTTTGAAATAGAGTTATGGAAATAGGGATGTAATTTCAGAACGGAAATTTCTATAAATATCGATTTTTACATGGAAGTATCCATTTTCGTAAAAAGCGTAGTTTTAAATGACCAAATAGCGTGAAGTTTCACGGAAATTTCGTGGAAATTATATCTATAAACATCCAGAAAATATCGATAACTTCACATTTTTAAATTACTTTTTAATAATGTAAAAGATTGATGTCATTTTTTTACTTTTTTCCCCTGAATGTAGTCTTCCCTTTTCTTTTTCTTTTTTTAATACTTTTCCAGCTATTTTTGTTTTATTGAAAATCTTTATCAGCCTTAATTTTGTGAACATGGACTTATCATTTATTGTATTAGGTTGACTTTAAGATGTTTTATTTAATTTGATAATGTCCTTATCATTTATTATATTATGATCACAATTTAGCATACATCTTTAGTATACAATTGGTATTATGATTGAGAATTTCATCTAATTTTATGTATCATTAGCTATTTTAGAGTTTCTTAAAGTCTCATTTTAAAAATAAAGTAATTTAGAATGAATTTCCATATTTATGTCAATTTCCACTGACATTGATATTTCCGTTGATATTTTCTTAAAATTTAGTACTAGTATTTTGGTGAATATCGATATTTTTGTCCTTGCTTATATGATTGTATTTGACAAGACATCTGTTGTTATTATGAAATCTAGTATTAATTTAGTATTCTCTAATTGGAAGAAAGGTTATCTTCTTCATGTTTAAAAAACATAAATCTAGCGACCTGTTTGGTTTGCAAGTTTGAACAGAAACTTTAGATAGAAATTTAAGGCATTGTTCTTTTCACAACTCAAGTTTTATTAGTACAGTGTTTTCTCTCACAAAATTCAAATTCTAACTTTTTTGCTACGGTGTTTTTTTCTCTCACGTACACAACTCAAGTTCAAAACTTGAGTTGTGAAACAAACATAAACAATTTTATAAGAGAAAATACTTTAGCAAAAAAGATTTGATCTGTGTTTAAATTATTACAAATTACCAAGCGGGGCTCTATCTTCGATAGCTAATTGACTAACAAGTGCCAATATTTTTCTATTGACCAAGTAAAAGATACGATGACATAGCTAACATGATAACATCAAGACAAGAGATAGAATAGAAAATAAATGGCTTAAACTAGCATAATGTCACGATTGTAAGGCGTGGACTTTAGAACCATATGACCTTGCTCCAATCCTTTCACTGAATTAATTCTCTCTATATATAATTATAAGAGTATTTGCAGATATTGGCATCATTCCGTCACATTTTAATTTTAGAATGTCAATTGAAGTAGGAAAATAATCGAACAGCAGCTTTTTAACTATTTTAGGCCATCTTTTCCCCCTCTCAGAATTCTTGGACGCTCAGCAACTAAACGGTGTCTTTTTCGCTTACTCCCATTAAAAATCATAAACAAGTGGCAAATCAATAAGAACGTGTTTTTTCTACCGAAAAATGTCGATATTTTAGCTATCTCTAACGACAATTTTAATTTTTAAATGCTTGCTATTTGTAATTTTGTTGAATAGAATATTTATTTTGGTTAGTAGGAATAAATGTCAATTTTGCAGCAACAGATAGTAATATAACTGTTCGCTGTGGAAACAGAAGGGGGAAAAAGTGATAATTAATTCCAAAGCTCCCTGTTATAATTTTATTTTTACTTCCGGGGTAAAGAATCAAAAGTAACCGGCTTGTTAAAGTATAAAACTATTATTGGCCCACATCTTAACAGCTTAAACTTTTATGATGGATTGGTAAACTAACATGGTATCAGAGCGGGAGGTCCTAAGTTCAAACCCCCGTAATTGCACTCTTTATCCCCATTTAAAATTGTCATCATGTGTTGGGTCTTTAATATATCTCGGGCTTAAATATTCACGTGTTGGGCTTTCTAATTAATTTACCCACACAATTGCTCATTGTTCAGCCCACACGTGAGGGGGAGTGTTAAAGTATAAAACTATTGTTGGTCCACCTCCTAATAGTTTAAGCTTTTGGGATGGATTGGTAAACTAACAGACTAGCTTGGTTGCCATTTGCGAAGCCTCATCTCTGAGGTTGTTAACTAATTTTTTCTCTAATTTCAATTGATACAAAGCACCTTTCCTCTGTCTTTTTGCTTCTCCCTTAAACTCTTTAAACTCAATTTTATTCACACAGATATATCTCTGGTCTTCATTAATTTGATTAACTAATTTCTATTTAAATTTCAATTGATACCAGCAATAATTTAGAAACCAACGATAAAGAAGAAACTACGCTAAAACCACCAAACGAGGAGTATATATATATATAACCAAAAAAAAAAGACAACATAATGAAAAAACGACAATTAAAGCTACAAAACGAGCAAAAAAAAAAAAAAAAAGGAAACGGCAGTACATATGTAAAATTAAATTACCACTCCGATAACGACATATAGTACTGTAAACGACAGTAAACAAAGCAAATGAATAAAGCGGAAAAGGAGTCATGAAAAAGAAGGAAGGGAAAACGACATCAAAATTAAAACTACAAGAATTGCGAAAACGACGGAAAGATGAAATGAAACTTTAGTCTGGACGGTGACATTTATGGAGGAATCAGGAAAGGACAAGACGCACCCTAAATAACGACAAGGAAAGGAATATACTAGACGAATGTAAAAGAACAAAGTGAAAAAATGATGAACAGACAATATTGATAAAAAAAACGACATATAAATGAATATACGAAAAAAGTGCAAAATCAGATGAGAGAAAACAAAATGAAAGAAAAATCACAAACAAGTAAATGCAGTGACTGCCCTTTTAAATAATAAAAATTGGAGAAAATCGTATCCACATTCCACACATATTTAGTAGTTTTTGCGTGTTTCTTTCTTTCGGGATGTGTTTCTCTTCTTCGTCAAAAGTTATAAATAATAGTTTTTTTTTTTTTTTTTTGAAATAAAATTCCACACATATTCCAGCTAAACTATATATATATACACACATACATTTCATATCATAACAGAGTGAGAAGATGTACACGTGATACAAAAAATAAACCAAAAACTTGCTTCAGAGTCCCATCAAAAGCTCAAAGATTAAGTTAAATTATTGGGAGCGGTTATTGGTAATAGTAAAACCAAAAATATATTGGATACTTTTTTTCTTTGAGGCCGAAAAAGTACTCGAATAGTCAAGTATTAACCGAATACGAACTTTTGCTTTTCGTCCCAAAGATTGAAAGAAAAGGTATTATTTGAGTGACACCTCTTTCTCCTTTGTTTAATGGGAAAATCTGCAGTAGTGCTCCTTCCTGTGCACAATCTGTAGTCGTTAATTTTCGACCGTATAGATTGTATCCAAAAGAAGTGCTTAAATCTTGTAGGGAGAAATAATGAAGGACGAAGAAATAAAATCAACGGCCAGCTAAAAGACTTAAAAAAAGAAGAGTAGAACTAAAGTTCAAAACGACACCTAAACAAACGAACGACGTAAATGATAACAAATGAATGAACGACAAAGAGCCTTTTCAAATAAATAATAAATGCATAAATGATAAAGAAGAAAACGACAAAATAAATAGTATATAAAACAAAGAGAGAAAGAATTTCATAATTATTTCCTGCATTGTATGTCATTCTTTTCTCTTATTATGAAACTAAAAAAAAAAAAAAAAAATTTAATTTGCTGTTAAAAAGTAATTCTTCAACCCGTGAAACTCTGAAAATATCAAACCTGGTCTCAGCAAACTGTACGTAGCAATATTTTTAGAACATGATATAATGACAACGACATGAAAAACTCCTATTAAAATTACAAACGACTAAAAAAAGAGAAGAAGAAGAAGAAACGACACTACGATTGAAACTAAGAAACCGAAAGACCACACCTACCCTAATAAACAAATTAAATAAGTACAAAGAGAAAACCAGGGAAAAAATGACACCAAAAGTCGCAAACAATAATGCTTTTGTGAAAAATAAAATTAAGCTAAACGACAAAAATGTAAAAAGTAACAAACTATAACATAAAAATGTGAAAACCACTCTAAAATCAACCAAAGGCAATTTAAAATCAAATAAATACAACAAATCTCAAATAGAAACAATTTTATTGAAAAGGACAACAATGAAGTGAAAAGGACAAAGGAAAAGAAAATAAACGACAACAGAAGAAATATAACACCAAAAGTGACAAACGACAATTATATTGATAAAACGACAGTTAAGCTGAACGACAAAAGAGTAATAGACGACAACAATTGGTTAAACATCATAAAATGGTGAAACGACACTAAAATTAAAAGACAACATTTTAAAAGGAAAAACGAATATAGCAAATGTGAACCAATGGGAAACGGACTAGAAATTAAGAAATGACATCAGTTTACCATTCTTAATCTAAGTGACGGCATTAATGAAGGAAACGACTAGATCCACGTTATAACGACAAGGAAACTAAAAGAAGAAGAACGTAAGACGTTAAATATAAAAATGAAATACGATAATTAAACTAGAACATTTTGCTGGCTCTCTAGCTCTTAAACGACTTAAAGACATGCCCTTTGTATAGCTTCGCCAAAGCGCCTCTGAATTTTGTGGAATTTATATACTTCATAAGAGTTTTTCCCTGTACTGGAAATTTTCTACTGCCCTGAATGGCGACGCATGATTTTTGTCCAAACAATGGACTCACATCAATCACTTGAATTGAAACGAAAGCATAATACAGTAATATTTTAGAAAGCAAAAAACTTTATTAAAAAGAAAAGAAAATATAAAAATAAAAAGTTCTTACAAAACTAAAACATAACAAGCGTACTTAGGAAGGCTCACATATGGTCCCAAGTACTTTTTATAAAGGTGTAGTATTAATATGTGGACTATGATACAAAGTGCAGCGAAATTCCACGGACTAATGCAACCAGTGGAACAACAAACTTGTTCTTTCCTCGCGAGTAGCCCGGTGAAGATGAAGTTTCATTTCCGATCACATTGGCATCAGCACTGTGTAAAAAGAAACAAGCCTTAGGTGTAATATCAATCGCATACTAGGTTATCAGATCTTTAATTTATCTAAAGAAAATCACAAGGAAGTCCGAAGATCTTTGTACTATAGTATCTATCGTACTTTCGTCTGCATGGTTTCAGGGTAAACATGGAAGCATTTAGAAGAAATGAAATTAAACTAGTACTTTCTATGAAATTTAGAGATATATATTTGCTTATCGATTTAGATATAAGGCGGACCTTAATGACAGGCCATTTTTCGATCTTTCAAGAAGTGCAGGTGGAATCGGACCACTGAGGTTGTTTTCTTTTATGTTTCTGTTTAGTGACAGATCACCAAGTACGGATACAATTAGTCAAGAAGATCAAAGTTAATTACAGAGTAAATTACAAAATCAGACCAACTTACAAAACCCTCAAGAATGATAATTGAGCTAAAAATTCAGGCACTGTCCCAGTTAGGCTATTGTTCGATAGATCCCTGAAACAAGCAAATTCTAATCTTCATATTTCCACGAAAGAGATTAAGAAGGACTGAGTACCTTTTTCAATTGGGTTCTAACTTCTAAGTTAACAATATATAAAATGATTTACAATTGATCGACACACTTACAAGTATTGCAACATCGTTTTATCCGCAATGTAAGGAGATATTTCTCCCTTCAATCCGCTTGAGGACAAATTCCTGATTTCATGTGTAACAATATTATATTTAAATAAGTGAGAGTTATAGGAACAGTCTGATAAACAACTAGTATGCCTTTAATTTTTCTGATCCAAGTAACTGAGATCATACAAGGATATAATTCTAGGTGGATTGTTGTCACTGTAAGAACAATTAAGACCGTCCCACAAGTAAGCTTGAGGGGAACATGGATCTCCTTGCCAGTTTCTAAACTTCAATTCATGCTCCAACTTGATGTTCCGTATTGCATTGGCTAATATTGATAAGAATAAATTAAAAAAAGAAAAAAAAAAAAAGAGGGAAAAAGGAAGTTAAAAAGACATATTAAGAATAACAAAGGTATTGAATTTATAATAAGGCTTATTAAACTCAACCGCTATATTATACTAAAACACATACCATCCTTTTCATATGTTTCTTGTCTCGAGTTCTTCTGCAGCGCATAATACTCCAAGGCATTTACTAGGGGTGGTAGAGTTGAATTTTCTGTTGCGTTAAACCAAATCTCGATCTTTCCTTCATGATCAGGTTTAGAGCCTTTTGTGCCGCACAGTGTGTCTGCTACCAAGTACGTGGGAATAAGTGGTATGTCATACCACAAGTCCCCATTCATATAGATATTGAATTCTCTAGATTCGTTCATTTGCAGCTTTACCAGTTCCGCAAAGTGTAGGTAGAAGAAATATCTGAGATTTCTGTCTAGTGTCCACCATATTCCCATGTAACGAATACTATTGTTTCGTGTATATGCAGTGCTCATGACAGTTAAGGGTAGTCCATAGCCACTATCAGATATATTATTCACTCCAAGGGAGGTATTCGTCGGTGTCCATTTATCTGTCTCGAGGGGCGACCACAAGCGGTCATAAACGTCATCGCGATATCTACAAATATATCAAAAATAATTATTTCGTCAATACCTGTAACCAAATATTACTGCCATAGAAAAATAAATTGATCTGTAATAATATAAAGAACGGGATCGGACCTTATTACTTTATTGGTTGCAGAACCAAAATCATAGCGCCCTTTGAGTAGTAGTGATCCGGCATCAGCTACATAAATGTCACTAGCTAAAGGCCTTAGCTCTAACACTGAGATGAATGGAATTCCAAAGCCTGTGTTAACTAGACAAATATGTATATCGTCAGATGAAGGGACATGTATGATTTCCTTGTTTATTACAGCATCCGCGCTCTCGATTATCACCGTGTCCCAAAGGTCAACTCCAATATGCAACTCGAATTTTGGTTCTTGGCGTCTTTTATCGTAGTTTCCATACATGAACCTTGCTCGGATCAAATACCTAGTATCTTTGCCTTCCAAAGGGCTCAGGGTGTAACAGTTCCTGGTTCCTTCAGGGAAGCTTCGGACATTCCAAAACTGCTGCTCATTGATTTCCTCTTTGTATGATGCTGAAATTTCCCTGTTTTCACCGTAATCCGTGAAGTTTGTGTCCGAGAGGTAAGTGATACCCGTTTCTTCATCTATGTAGATTGAGACGTCCGATATCCCACAGTCTATACTAATGAATCCTGAAAGAAATTAAGATCTTAATTAATTCGCTGACTTAAGAAAATTTGTGCTTAAAGAATGTCAAAGCGTACTGGTATTTAAAAGATTGAGATTGACTATACAAACCTGTTCGATCCACATGATTTGCCTGAACCAAAACTGTGAGGAACGAAGCACCTTGCAATATTGCAAAGAGAGAGTGATTAGAAACGACCATGTCTGAAACACTCTTTTTTCCTACGGTGAAGGCCAGGTGGGCATTGTTTGTTGTATATAAAGAGCAAAGAAATTAGCTCATTTAATTTCCGTTGTTGTATTCTTGTCAAACACTAGAATATTACAATGAAATTAATTCTATTTGAATATGATGGCTAGTTTAAATGATATTAGTCATGGGGCCACTTATATTCCTATTTATGCAAGCAAGCTATTGACATGACAGAAAAGAAAAAAAAGAACGAAATTATTGTCTGCTTTCTAAGGTGTTTTGAGTATAATACAGAAATATTAATGGACCAATACATATTAAATTAACTATACCTCAAGAAAAAGTATAAAGCTAATTTATAGTGTCTTGAAGTCAGACACGCATGGCTAGTCATATTTAATTTTAAAGGGGTATTTTTTAAAATAATATTTATATTATTTACTCTTTTTATTCTCCGTTTATCTGTAGGGATCCAATCGTTAAATCACAGACCACGCAAAAATAAGAACACCAAAGATGAGAACAATCAGGAAAAGGGCCTGATTTTCCTTTTATTATCAACAGACTCTACCAATATGAAGTCACAATAGAGTTCTCAGCCATTACAGCATGCTCAAAAACCAAAAGAAAAAGAAGGAAAGAAAGCTGATAAGGGTTTTCGAGGAACCTACGCCTCCTAGTCACACTCACAGACCAAATTTTCACATTATCAGCTTAATAAAATCTAGGGTTAAAATCATTTTAGTAGCCTATATTGTTACAGTGAAATATGCTTCTGGTACCCTATATTTTTAATAATATTAAGACATACTCTCTCAACGTTTTTAAAAATATCTTCTTGGTACCCTATAGTTGATTTTAGGACATGTAATGTCCAAACCACCATTTTTATTAATTAAATAGAAATAAAAACATTTTAAAAAATCTGAATATATTTTAAAACACATTAAAATATTTAAATGAAAACAACAAAGTAAAAAGGTTCATGATTTTTATAGTAAACGCCCATTCTGCTTCTGCTTTTTTTTTTTTTTCCTGAAGGGATATGTGTTTTGCATTTGGGAGCAAATCAACAAGTTATAGTAAACGCCCTATTATCCGCTGTGAATGAATAATTTCAGGTAGATTACTTCATTATCCATGTCGAATATTTCTTGTAAGGCTCCCGGCCCACTCAGCGCACTAGGCGTGTGTCTTGTTTTGCCTTCTTTTTCACAAATTTTTCTCATGAGGACATTCGTCTAAAGCCAGAAAAGAAAACGTGTAAATGTAAAGAATAGGCCACCAACCGATCCTTATTAGAACCATTTTCTGGTATGGTGTTTTAAAACGAATCTTGACACGAATTGAAATTAGAAGAAGAGAAAAATTCCACGAAAATTAATGGAGGCTAACGGGTGTAAGTGTAACGCTGTGATGGTGTAAAGACATGACGTGCATTCTCTGCTGCACTGCTAATTGGCTACTTTTAAAAACTCATGCGCATCAAGTTATGAATAGCTCAAAGTCTACACCATATATATATATATATATAATATGACATGTAATTTGGATCAGGAAGAAGGGAAAATTTAAAATGTCACTATTTAAAAGCTTGGACTCTGTTGTTTAAAGAATGTTTCTGGGACGTCATTGCGATGATTGCTAATAGATCGTCACTTGCAGCTTATAGTAATTAGTTACATCTCCATGTTGATCGCCAACTTCAAGTGTTGATAATTACTTGTATCTAAGAAAATGAAGTAATAGATATAATAAAAAAAATAAAAGGAACTTTCAAGTTTTTCATCTACTAATTTTTAATTAGCACCATCATTAGTCTGTCTTCTTCTTTAAATTCTTTGGACAAACAAATGACGCCTTAGTGCTTTTCCTCATTCAATTATAGCATTACTATACTCTTTTTATACCACCGTGGCAACCAAAGATCAATATTTTAGTAACTTGAGAAAAGGTTTTCTGAAATCCTCAACTATTGACAAGAGTACTGCGAGCATAGAAATCGGGTATAGGTGACAAATTATACGACATTTCTTTTTAAGAGCATGACCAAAGACGCAGTATATAAAAAGTTTCTGATTTCCTTGCGGCTGTTATAGTACCATGTATGCCTTGTTCGTTTTACACGTTCGAGTTAAGAGCTAAAGTTGAAAAGTGAATTATGTGAAAGAAAATATTATACAGAAAAAGTTAAATTTAAATTTTTATGAGAGAGAACATTATAACAAAAACTTTGAGTTGTGATTCGAACGCTAAAATGAATGAAGCCGTATAATAGAAAGGTTTCGTTGAATATAGAAATGGAGAGGGATGACCCTTGGGTCTTAACCAACTAACTGGTGGCACACTATTATTGGAGTAAATAAACTTATGTATAACCTAATTAATTAACAATTCTAATGGATTTATCATTAATATATCGAGATGATCATGGAGGAGGATATTTTATGAATAATTTATGCTGCTATGCAATTTGACAAGACATCAGTAGTTGTCCCGCTCAAAAGTGAAATATTGTCCCCTTCAACTGTTCTATTATATATGGAATGTGGATTATAAATAATAATAAATTGTGCTGTCATGAAAATTCTCTTCATATTTAAAATTAAAACGTAAATCCAGCTTGGGGAGCCAGTAATTGACATAAGTGTCATTGATTTTTTCAAAGAGGATCCGTCATACATCCAATTAAATAACATAATATAGGGAGAAGAAAAGTTGAACCAACTTTTTTTTTTGGGAGTTTTTTTTTTTTCTCATCTTTTTTTTTTTTTTTTTGGGGGAGTTGAACTAGCTTAATGTCGCTATTGTAAATCGTGGACTTTGTCAGTATTTCTCCATCTATGTATGAGTTAAACTAGAATTGTACGGAAAATTTTCAACTGACTTCTATCTATTAAAAAATTTAAAGAAGTCTGCGGAGATTTGCATCATCATAACATCATATGGGGGTGATATTTAAAGCCAACAAATAATAATAAGCATTACCATTGGGTTATAGAGATATAGCGGGTCTCTCTTGTTATAATTTTGTACAAAGCTGACTTTTTGAAGTAAATATGTGCTCTTTTCCCCTTTTAGTTTTTTTCCCAATGGGTCGTGGCTAGAGGGTTTTTAACGAAGCATATTTGTAGTTTTATTCCAAAGAATGAGTTAAGGCTTTGTCTTTGGGATATAGCTTCTGGTTTTATAGGTTTTTTGTTCTGTTTTTCCGTTTGTTTAGTCTTTAATTTGGCCTTTGGGTTGTTTTATTGAAATATTTACTTTATTTTTTATTTTAATAATATTTAGTGACAGTTCTAGTAGCAGTGTGGGTGCCAACTTAGTTGAGATGTGTAATCAATCTCTGATATCAACATTCGCAGTTTATTTCAAAAAAAAATTATCATTTCTCCAGCTTGCCATCTTTATAAATCTATAAATATTCTGAGGTTGGCATTTGTAGGAAATGCTAGGATCACTTGAAATATCACTCTCTTTCTCTCTCTATGTTCTCTTAGTGCCATTTGTCAGCTCACTTCGCAAAAAAATGAAACCTTAACCATAGACCGTTCTTTTAAAATTTATTACATATTTGTCATTCTTGAATTTTATAACATTATCATTATATTATTTCTAAGTATTTGCTCTCCTTTTTTTTTTTTTCCCCGCATTGTACGTGTAAGTTTAGAGTTCGTTTCCCTTGAAAAGCTGTATATTATAACTCTTGTTTTTTTATTAAATGTGAAACGACAAGATAATCATTCATAAGGAAAAAAATAAAAATAATTTTTAAATTGGAATGTTTTTCCTTATTGCTTGTTATATTATCATTTTCAGATGTTTTTTTAAACTAGCAAAAAAATTTGCTTCTGGAAACGATATCATAACGAAAGCCACTTAACATAAAGAAGAGTAATAAGTATTATAAGCAAAGCTTTCAAAATACTTGGAAGATTTGAAGTTTGAACCAAAAAAAAAAAAAAAAAGCGTTACTCACATAATGTATTACAGCCAGTCTTTAAATTATGCTATCTCTATCTATAGTTATTTTTTTTAATAATCTTTGTTTGGTTTTTACAAAAAGCTAGAAGATAAATAGGCTTTTTGCTAAAAGGGAAAAAAAAAAAGAAAAAAAAAAAAGAAGACGTTAGTTCCGTTGGTTTTTTTTATTTTTGATGCTAATAAACAATGGCATATTTGTAATAAATTGCAAAAGAATGGTTTGTAACTAAGGTTTTATTTTTTTTATATATTTTTTTGAGAAGTGGGATGTCACATGGCAACAATGCAAGGTAGAAAGTGACATTTCAAGTGACCCTAATATTTCTCATCAACTCAAAGGCGTTGCTTAGTTTTGTTTGACTTTTTTTTTTTAAAGAAAATAAGATTTATTTTGTTTCACGTGCATATGTATAGTGTTCACGTCTGTTTTAAGAGTAAGAGGAGAGCGGATTAAAATTACATGTTCAATTTGATTGTCTAGAATGATACTTAATCAATTAGATTGTGCCACGTACGTCATTAAAAAAATTAAAATATCTTTTTAATTAACTTTTCTTTTATCTGAAGTTTAAATCTATTAAATGACGTATTATTTTTTCTATTAATTAGACGCCAATTATATGACACTAAAAATTAGTCAGGTAATTTGAGTTAATCAGACCATTGCTTTTTTTTTTTCCGAGTGCTACAGGAATTTGGTTTTGCCAGCAATTACTAATACAAAGAATGATGCAAGGATCTTTGTCCTGCCTGCAAAAGGCAAAAGCCTCTATTCATGTCATTTGTGCTGTTCTAAACAAGATAAGATAACATTTATCATGGTATACATTGAAGACCTGGATGCGACTTAGGCGCAACGTAGTTTTACTGAAATGACATACAATGACATAATGCATATAATTTAGCTTCATGACAATATATAAGAAGTATATAAGGGACCAAGTTCAGAAGTCATGATATGTGTGGAGAACATGACTTCAGTTGAATTTGTTGAATCTGTCACACGGCTATATATGGTTTCTTTGAGCTAATTCTGCTGTCAAACACTCCTTGAGTTCGGTCACTACTTGACTCATGTTTGGCCTTTTAGTGGTTTTTTGAGAAACGCATGTCATTGCTAATTCAACAGCTTTCCAAACAGAATTAGTTTCGAAATTTCCCTGCAGTCTTTTGTCAACAATAGCTTCAATGTCGCCATTAGAAATCATGAAACTTACCCATTCGCTTATATGAGTCCTCTCATGGCCTCTACTTAGAATGGCAGATCGGCAAGTGATTATTTGTAGAACTACCCCAAAACTAATAAAATCGCGTTTCTCTGTTAATTAGCCGGTTTGTTGTTGAGTATCTACGAGCATAAACCGAGGGTTTCTCCATCATTTCATATATTGGATATAAATTTTTGCAATTCTTCTAAACAATAGTGAAAATAGATTTAAAAAAAAAAAAAAAAAACTTTTACTCAGGATCGACGTACTTAGGGGCTCGTTCTTTTGAGTGAAAAACTCAAAAAAATGCAACTCGAGTTACAATTTTATTCGAGTTCATGTTCTTTTAAGTTTAAACTCGAGTTTAAACTCGAGTTCAAACTCGAGTTTATGACTAAAACTCGAGTTCAAGTTTCCCCTTCAACTCAAGTTCAGAAACTCGAACTTAAATTAATAAACAGTACTTTTTCTATTCTTAAAAATGTTATAACTTTTTCGTTTTAATTCTGATTGAGATGATTTTTTTTCTATGCGTTGACAATGAAAAGACGAATAAAACCCAACCCATATACCCTATTAAAATCTTTCATCAGCATTGATTTTTTATTAAAATACTATCTAAATACAAATTCAAGTTTTGACTCACTCAAACACAAACTCAAAAAGATTCTTAACTCAAACCATAACTCAAATGTATACAACAAAACACAAACTCAAGTTACAAGTTCAACTCAAGTTATAACTCAAATTCAACTCAAGAATTATACTCAAGTTAAACTCCAAAAGAACAAGTCCGGTGTGCCAGCAACTGTCACTAATCCCTGTTTGTATGTGCAATATTGTATATTCTGTGGGTGCGACCTTAAATGATGTCAGAGGCTTAATTTTAAACTTGTTTTATTAGAAAAGTATGAAAGTCCCCATCACTTTCTCGTAATTTCATTTCATCAAAATGTGGGGCTTGTTTGAAAATTGTTTTAATATTTTACTTTTAGTTTTGATTATTATATTTTCAAATATTTAATTACTTTCTTAATTATGTTTAAATTCTAAACGAGCCTCCACGTCACTAACTCAGGTGTGACTGCAACTAACGTGGATGTCACGTCCTGAAACTTCGAGGGTGACTTGGAGAGACCTAGCTACGTATTTTTTCAAGGCAAAGCTAACACGGAGCCAAGTCTTTCCAATTTTAATTATAAAAAAATTACCAATTTTGTTTATTTTGATCATTTTAGATTTATTTAAAACCATTTTCTTTACGTCAAAGTAGTTTTCTGATATTGCAGATATGGAAACCACAACACACATGCATACTTGAAGTTTTAAAGAAAACAAAAAATAAATGTAGTTATTACAGTCCAACAGCGGTAATTTTAAAATAATAATACATGCCTCAAATAACTTAAATTAAATCCAAAGGTTGACTCGCAAAACACCAAGCACATCACTGGATGATTCGACCACAAGTTCCGTCTAAGACTATCCTGAGGGGAAATTATTTTAAAGAAATAAAATAAAATGAGGGAAAGGCCAGTAGATATAAATTTTAAAGAAATTAATCAATTTACTTAATAAATAGACTGTAGCCTTTAAAGTAAATCATACCCGGAGATTTTACTAAATCTCTCTAGTGTAAAAACTGCATAGTCTCAAACAGTAATAATAGTCAGAGGAGAAACACCCCTCCTATTCACAGCCACCAGGTCGACCATCCGACACACGGATGACCTCTGATATCAAATATATATATATATATATATATATTTTTTTTTTTTTGGTGACGCAAGTGAAAGCAGAATATGTCCTATTAGCATGTTTGGAAGGTTTTTCCCTCTTGTTTCTTAAGTACTTTCAATAAAAAATATTGTACGGATAATATTCAATATGGGGCATCATTAATTATTCAATATGGAGTATTTATCTGCACGTAGCTTCATGAATTATATATGTGACAAGGTACTGTTGAAGGCCAAAGTCATAGGATGAAATAAATATATAGCAGCGGTTTTCGTCACGAATTTCCTTTGTTGCTCGACAGACTGGCAAAATTATTCTCAGTCAACACTACTCCTTTAATTTTTAAAACGCCAGTACTGGATTGCTAACCCGATATCACCATTGGCAATCAATCATGGAATTGGTAAACCATCAAATTAATTGACCGATAACAATTCAATAATCTTTCTGTTGCTTAAATTAGGCTGTGGTCTTCGGCCTTTAAAACTAGTTTATTTTTGTGAGAATTCTTTAAGTTTTTCTAGTCAAAGGGTGCCGTGCGCGTGGCCACGTATCAGTCCATCAACAGGGGAATTCTGCTGTGATTTGAGTATTTAGAAACTCCTATCGGATTCATTCAACAAAATATATACATTTTGAAATACCCATAAGCTCCGACCTAACATTCAAGAGCACTAATTTAATCTGAACTATGCTAGATAGTTCGGACATTGCCCAAAATCTTATTCACCCGCAAGCGTACGGTGTCAAGTTTTGATAGTATAGGGTGAGTGAGTATCGTCTCCACAGGGATTGGGTGAAATTACCGTTGAGTACCACGATTATCATAACTCAATTTTATCTAGGCAACCAAACTAAACGAAATAAAATAAAACATAAATGGGTATAAATACAAAAATAAGATAAATTATGGAAACTTCTATGCACAAATGTACTAGGGACTTCACCTTATCATTCTTATGTTCATCCTTATGTTCATCCTTATAAGCCAGTGCTAGCCAATTCTACTCAAAATATGGAATCTAACCTCGCTACCTCTCCCGAGCATCAAACGAAGTCATATGCATGAATACCCAAATCAATATTCTTATTTAACCCATTTACTCATACACTCATTAAGTTTAGCCCTTAAATTAGAACTCAAATGTCGATTGCCTCCCGGCCTCACAACAATTGAAATCCTAGTTGATAATCAAGGTCTTGATCACCTCCCGGTCTCACAATATCCTAGACTCCCAACGAGATTACCTAAGTGTTGATCTCCTCCCGAACTCACAACAACCTACACTATGTTTCCCAATTTTGGATTATGAAATCAATCTCTCCCGAGCATCAAAATCGCAATCTAAAATTATCTAACTCATTGGTCACATAAATTAGAAACATTAAGCATAGATAAACATAAAAAAATTAAGATGGAATTTAACTAACAATTGACAAGATAATCAAAACATGGTTCAAATAAAGCTACATCAAGCCCTAGAATATGAAGTCTAGCTCAACATAGAGGAATTCATAACCAAAATCACAAATTTAAGAACATAAATAAAAAACTACAAAGCAAAGGGAGAAGGAAGAGAAAACTCTTGTGGAGATGAGCTTCAAGTCTTCAAGTCTTCAAGAATCTCTCCCAAGCATTCTTCAATAATCTCCAACTCCAAGCTTCTCTCTCTATGAATTTTTATGTCTCTCGTCCTCTCCAAGTTGGGACCTAGGATTTCTTTTGTTTAAGTATGCTCAAACATGAAGAAAATCTAAGCCACACTCATTCAAGGGTCAAAAATGGCCTTTCAACATTGATCAAGGGCCAAAAAGGCCCAAAATACTCATTTCAGCACACGGAGGGGCGCGGCCGCGCAGCAGGTGTAGCAATTGCTTTCATTAGATTTTTTCTTGGACCAGCAATCTTTAGCCTTATGGCCCTTCTTGCCGCAGTTGTAGCAATTCCCATCAAACTTCTTTCTCCACTGAGAACTCTTGTTAATTTCAAATAGAGAAGTCGTCTATACAAACTTTTCGAATTTGTAGTAATTGAAAGTTCATGGAAATTGCTTCAAGAATACATAGCAAGAAATGGTACTGATCTAGAGATTAATAGACTAGCACTTACATGAAATATATTAAGAGAGTGAAATTAAGGAGATGATGCAAGAAATTGTTGGAAAAGAAAAGAACACTCCACACACGAGAATATTGGCAAAATTCTACCTTGCCATTGGACTGAGTTCTGTAGTCATATTTATAGATAATATGTCAGTTGAATTTGTGGAGTCTGTCAGTCGACTATTGTTCCTTCGAGCTAATTCTATTGCCAAAGACTCATTTAGTTCAGTCACTACCTGAGTCATGGTTGGCCTTTTAGTGGATGAAACAGATACACAAGCCATTGATATTTCCACAGCTTTCCAAACAGAGTTGACTTCGAAATCTCCATTTAACCTTGGATCAACAATACTCTTAATGTCCCCGTTAGCTAGCATGAAACTGACCCATTGGCTTATGTGAGTCCTCTCATCATGATCATGAGTTCTCCTTATGGCAGGTCGACTCGTGATCATCTCCAATAGTACAATTCCAAAGCTATAAACATCACTTTTTTCATTTAGCCTATTTGTCATGTAGTACCTGCAGAGGAAAGTATATGAAACTTGGTTCAATATAATTGCAGGAACATTACTAATATCTAGTTTTATAAATTTTTTTTTTGGAAGAGATGCATTTTTTGTCTTCTTTTTCTAAATTCATATAAACCACTGCTATAATTAATTTATAAACCATTTTTTATTTTTTAACAACATGTGCGCTCTGTAAATGACAGAGAACTTACTCAGGATCAAGATATCCAGGTGTGCCAGCAACAATTGTAGACATATGTGTGCCATCATCAGTAGGAAAACTTTTAGAAAGACCAAAATCAGCTAGTTTGGCTTGAAAATTCTCAGTTAACAAGATATTTGTGGTCTTGACATCTCTGTGCACAATAGGTGGCTTGCAGCCGTTGTGAAGATACTCCAATCCTACATTTCAATATCCACACTTATTGTGTTGTAAACATCTGAAGTTTTAAGGACATTAATGTTGCTTAACTAGATGCATGATACAGCTGTACGAGCATGAGCTTTATAATGCTTTAAGGACCTATGCGTGCTCCGTTCTTAGCAGTGCGGAACTATTTTGCAAAAGCGTCACCCCATCACATTATTATTTTAAAAAAAAGGAGAAGAAAATTATCAAAAACAAAAACAGTCGAATCAACTTTGTGCAAACCTTGTGCTGCATCAATTGATATTTTAAGTCTTCCTTCCCAACCCAGAACCTTTCCATTGCTAGCACCTGTACATAAGATTCAAATTTATGATGCTTTACGCTTTCCTCAATAATTAGTATGGTGATAAAAAAAAAAGAAAAACTAAATTAAAAGGATGATCATGATGAGGAAGAAGAAAATTAAATTTTTAGTGTAGAGAAACCCACCTGAAAGATGAGAATCTAAATTTCCATTTGCCATGTACTCGTAAATTAGAGCCATGTTGGTTCCTTCATTGCAATGCCCAATAAGACTAGTCAAGTTTCTATGATGAACTCTCATAAGAAGCTTAACCTGTACATGAAATACCCGCATTAAAATTAATATATATATATATATATATGTGTGTGTGTGTGTGTGTGATCATAAGCTCACTAATTTAGGACCAAAGAGAAAAAAACAAGAAAACAAAACCATAAGCTAATAATTTTGTGTGGAAGCGAAATTAGAATCAGAAAGCAGTTGATGATTGCCAAGTAATTAAAATGACGACGAGCTGAAAAACAAAAAACTTTGAAAACGACAATGAAATGTAAAACAATATCAATATAAACTTAAAAAACGACAATATCCTAAAATCGACAGCAATCTGCTAAATAATAATAGCCTGAAAACAACAATTAAATATAACTTAAACTAACAAGTAAGCTGGAAAACAAGCTATAAGGTGAAAAAAAAAGCCATAAGGTGAAAAATGACACAATTTTGAAAACGACATCACCATGGAAAATGGCAGTAACTTTGATAAATGGCAATGATATCCAAACAACCTCAAACAACAACAAAACAACATAAAACTTGAAAAACGACAACGAAGTGAAAATGACAAAACCTGATAAACCACACTGATATCTAAAAACAACTTTAAGAAAGATGACAACAACCTTATAAGAGTATAACTATATATGAAAACCTTATAAATGACAATGAATTTTAGTTTCGGCAAAGAACTTGAAGAAAAGATCTTTCATGTATGATGTGATGATAACGAAGATTTTACTTGGGGCAATGCCTCCAAGTAAGGCATAACGCATTTAAGTGAAAGAATACTGATGTTAAAGGAGAAGCACTTGTAGTTGAGAGGTGAACGGCAATAAATGGAAAGAAACGACAAATAAATATTATAACGACAGACAAATAAAGAAATGCAAAACGACGGATAGGTGTTGAAACCACATAAATTTTGAAAAACAAGAAGACAAATTATAGAGGACTGCCTGCTAAACGGCGTAAGTAATTCGAATACATGAATCTATCTATTTAAAAAAAATGAAAAAGAAACTATCTTTGAAAACAACATAAATCAAGTAAAACAACAAAAATAACTTCCGGTGAAAACAAAGGTAGCGACAGAAAATTTAAAGAAATGATAAACAGGAATTAAGAGAACATGCCTCTGCTTGAAATTGTTGATAGCCCTGAAGCGATGAAGGAGAAAGCATCTTCACAGCTACTTGAGTGCTGTTATCATCTAAGCAGCCATGGTAAACTGTTCCAAATCCTCCTTTTCCAAGAATTCTCTCAAAGTTGTTTGTCATTTTTATGATCTCAGCATACGTGAATTGTCGTTTTCTAGACTCCAATATTGAATCATTCCAATTTATAACATTGGATTCCGCATTCACAGTTACACCTATTAAGTATCCCCATGGGAGTTTCAAGAAAACTTTCTTGATCATCTTCAATTAAAAATCTTCGAAAATTAACCTCAGCGAGCTATAATGTACAAAGAAAAAAAAAATTCTCCCTTTTTCTACTGAAGATATATGAAAAAACAGGTTGTTACCTGGTTTCTTTTTCTTTCTCAGAGTCACTAAAATGGTTGCTGCTATTGAAATCAGGATTACCAATCCACCAACCGATGCTGCTATCGGAATCAGAATATTGTTATTGCTCTTCTTCTTCTTTTTGCATGGAGACGAGGCACATAAATCTAGATTATCTTCATAACTAGCAAGTATCAACAAAGTATGGTCAACTAATGCAAAATGGCACGCACAAAAAAAAAGGATATATTATGAACAGCGTTTATTTTCTCTCAATCATGAATTGAAAAATACTGGAAAAATATTATGAGGTCCTCTTCCAATTATGTGAAAAGAAGAAAACACACCTTAATGATAACGAACCACTCCTTGATCTTTCAATAAGTTTAGTTGGAATTGAGCCAGTGAGTTTGTTTCTTCCTAGGTTCCTGTAACAAAAAGAAACAAAAATTTTATATCCTATACTTAAGAATTAAATAATAACACAAGTTGTTTATTCTAAATCACTTACAGGACTTTTAAGTATTGTAGCGAAGACAAAAATTCGGGCACTGATCCAGTTAAGCTATTGTTTGACAAGTCCCTGAATAAGCACGGATTTCGAATATGGTGGTCAGTGGTCAATATGTACAAGAGATTTTTGATAATAACAAACTTGGATTATCTGGTTTGTCGCTAATTATTAACTTTAAATCAAGTACTTACAGGGACTCTAACATGCTGAGTTTGGATATGTGTTCGGTTATATTCCCAGTTAATCCTCTGGACGACAAGTCCCTGATATTAACCATTTATAACACAATATTCAATATCTGATAGTTTTAATTAGGAAAAGCAACAATTGGGACTAAATTGAAACAAATTGTGGTGTGATTAACTTACAAGGACATAATTCGAGGAGGATCGAAAACATCGTTGGTACAGTTTAGACCTGACCATAAGTATCCGATGGGAACACAAGGGTCTCCATCCCAGTTTCTCTCCACACCATAGGTTGACTTTATGCTAGTGATGGCTTCCACTAATAATAACGTTTATGTCGCGATCCATTAGTATTCATACAAAACTAGTGAAAAAAAATATCATTCATAGTACATGAAACAAGAAAAAGAAAAATTAAAAGAATAGAGACAGAGAGAAAAAGAGAAGACTTAGTACTCGATGCAATCAGACATTTAGAACTCGTAAGGATATTTTTTATTTTTTTATTTTTTTTATTATGAATAGAGAGAAGACAATGAACTTTTGGAAAGCGTATAACAGCCAAACTAGATTGGCAACTACTAATCAATATTATTTATCAAAAAACTCCTGTAATTAAAATATATGGATATATATATGTATGAATGTATGTATGTATATATGTATGTATGTATGTCAAGCGAATACCCTATATATACATACCATCATCTTGCTGTGTCTCTGATAGCGAAAAATCCAGCAGAGTATAGAACTCAATCGCATTGAGAATCGGTGGCAGAGTTGAATTTTCGAGTTTGTCGATCGAAAAGCTATAGTTTGATTCCCCAGTTATGGGTTTGGTGCTGTAGATGGTGGTCGATGATAAGTAGTCGGGAACAACGGGTCCATACAAGAGCCTTCCATTTACGTTGATATTGAAAGCTCTGTAATCGTCTGATTCAAGGCGTCGAAGCTCGGCAAAGTGTATGTAAAGATAATATCTGTCACTTTCATTTGGTGGCTCAATGTGGAATTCAATGGAATTACCACTCTCATCTTTGGGCGTTGCCGCCGTGCTCATTACAATGGACGGTGGCCAGTAGTCGATGTGAGTTTCGGGATCAACGGTGAGTGATGAAGTTAATTCAGTCCACGCATTGTCGTAAAAGGGGATCCAGATTCGATCATAACCGTCGTACGGATACCTAAGGAATTAAAAGCATTTATAAGGAAGCTATTAACTGTCTTTAAACCAACCTTGTGGTACAGTAACTTAAAACAGAATCATATATATTGTATTAATTTTTCATAGAGATAAATTCTATTAAATGTCACAGTACATGACATATTTATAGGAGTAGAGTTGGAATACTACATTTTTTGGAATTTCTTAGGATTAGCAAAATTGCGCAGTAATTATTTTAATGATTTTCACGTTTTATCCTATTAACTTACATATAGTGATTATTATAATACTTTAATTTTTTTCATTTTTTATGAATATTCTAAAATTTTGTGTTATGTATCAGCATAACTAATAATAAGGTTACAACTTATATATATGTAAAACTCACCCAAAATTCTATTAGTCGGTAAATGTTTCTAAAGTGCCAAATTTTCATTAGATTTCATTATATTTTCTTGCTATTATACTCTACATAATCTGTTATTCAGAAGCGGGCGCTACAAAATTTTGAAATTATATGCAAACTAATCTGGGGGCAAGAATTAGCGGAGTTTTGTTGATGGTTAATTAATCTAATTGCAGGGAGTAGATAAAAAGGGGAATCACAAGATCACCTGTATGAACTATTGGTGGTTGAACCAGGATCAAATCTTGCAAACAATGACAAGGCATGAGAATCACCAATCATATAAGTGGTATTTTTCAAAGGCCTCAATTCTAATGCTTGTATAAACGGTGTCCCAAATCCAGTGTTGACAAGACACACATGGACATAGTTCCGCGGAGGAGTATGTATGATCTCTTTTACGACGCCCGAAGATACGGAGTCGAATTTCACGGCATCCCAAAAATTAGCTCCTATGTGCAGATCAAATCTAGGAGTCTTGTTTTGGCCGTCGTAGTCGCCATAAAAGAACGTTGTTCGGATCAAGTACTTAGTACCCTTTTCCACGCTTATTTTGTAACAGTTTCGGATTCCTTCAGGGAAGCTTCTGAGGTATGTTATTTGCTGTTGAAGATTGGCTCTGTATTTGGGCAATATGGTTTTACTCACGCCAGTATCAATGAAAGCCGCGTCCGAAATGTAGTTTATGGTTGTTGATTTCTCACTGTAGCTAGAATTATCAGGCCGCCCACAGTCTAAGCTAATGAAGTCTGAGACAAAAAAAAAAAAGAGAAGCCTTAGCCATATACTATCGAAAAATTATTAGAAAACATCAAATGAACTGATAATTTGAGATAATATATAATTTGATTATTTTCACCTGTTTGATCCTGTGCATGGACGATGTGTACAAGTGCAAAAACGACAAGAAATACAAAGAGGAAGCTGTGTTTGGACCTCCCCGTTACCCTCATACTGTCCATCAGCGCTAAGCAGCTAGCACAATTAGTATGCAAACTTGTTCTATATATATATATATATATATATATATATATACAATATACATATACATATACATATATATACATACACACACATACATGGATATATATATATTTATATCTTGTATGGAGACATGTATTAGCGCTCAACTAGTAGTCTTAGGTGGCTAATTTCATTTTATTAATGAAAAATTACACTGACATCCCATGACTTTTGTTGATATTATATATATATATATATATAGTTTTTTAATAAATGGTTATATATCCTTGATTGAACTTAATTACACCGACACTCCTCTGATTAACTCCGTTCATTTGCAAAATATTGAAATGATGAAAATATCCAAATAATCTCAGTCCTTTACATGCTAATAAAAATTGGTCTGCACTGTTAAATCTGTGAGAAATTTTGAATTGATTTAGAATGTTAACTTCGACCATGTGAAATATTTAGCCGACCCTAATCCCGAAATCAAAGAAACCCTGATCCCGAAATCGAAAGAAAGTTTTAGATGGAGTCACTGTGAAATTTTTAAGCTAAGGGGATGTAATTGAAAAAAAATTAAGGGATTTATTAAGTGGCTGCTATTGTAATATTGAAAAAAAATTAGCGATGAGGTGCAGAATAATTTTTCCTTTTATTAATTATGGAATCAAATGCAATATGGACTTCTTCTCTTTTCTTTAATTTTTTTTTTCTATTTTACTTTTCGGCTTAGTGTCAGTTTCATATATATAATAGGCTAATTCAACGATGCTAATATCATGTTGTGAGATTGTAATTGGACTTTATCAACATGTTTATAATATTTGATTAGAAAAACCTCTCTCTATATATAATTTTTTTATTTCTTTTGTGGTTGATAAGAATTTTCTTCAATATAAATTACTTAGAAAAAAATATCTACTTGTGAGACATTCAATAGAAAAATAGAAAGTCCATCATGCAATTAGTAAAACTCATGATGCCCGGATGGAGTAATGTGTTGGCCGGCAGCTAGCCTACAACCTTCCGTACTCATTAATAGAAAATTAACAACTTGGACATAACAATACCGAGCCATTAAGGCTCCAGAGCTGGCTTAAGCCCACCCTCAAATTTTTTTATTTTAAAAAATATTATCTATATAAGTATGTATATATTATATTACATTCATATATGGTTAATCTCCACTAAAATTAATCTCATAGCCTCCATCAAAGATATCATGACTTTCTCCAAAAATTCAATACACATAAAACTATAAACTCAATCTTTAATGGCCTTAATGATGAAATTAATATACAATAATTTCAAGGCATAAAAATCCATCGAGAACAATTATAGTGCATTAATAGATTTTTTTATTAAATTTTATTTTAATTATTAGCCCCCACTGAAAATTCATGGTTCCGTCACTGCAAATCACAACTAATAATTAAATGCAAGTACAGTATTGAGTTTTTAGGCTCAAGCTTACTAAAATTAGTAATAGTTTATCCAATATTTAATTAAGACCAGCTGGGATGAGGTCAAAGTTTCGACTATTCCAGTAGTAGTGTAAAATAATATGTTGTATCTCGTACGATAAAATGAGCAAGTAGACCTTCGTTTATAAATGGCTTTATAATAAGGCTATGACTCAAAAGGAAAGAGTAATAATAGAGCTTATTATCAAATTCTGTATCCCTCCACGTAAGCTGTCTATGCAATCATTGAACTAGCATAATCAATTACTGATAACTTATGCAAAATGAGCTACTTAAAACCCCACTTGATCACTATCAGAAATTCATAGACAATTCGTGTTTTTTTTTTTTTTCTTTTTTTAATCCATTACGTCCTCATCATTAAAAAATATAATAAAGACTTGTAATGAAGTCGTCCCGTGTGAGTTTCCATGTAATTTCATACATTTATCACGAGTCAACTTAAAACTGGAATCTTACGCAAACACAATATTTTAGGCAAACATTCTTACAAAATTCTTCTTCTTAAAATTTCCTTAGAATATAGTTGTTTTTCTTAAATAATTCGACCCCAAAGTCAAGAAAAAGACACCTCCAGGCCCTTGCCCCTATCTCAAAATTCTTTTAGACTAGGTTGCAGTAAAAGCACTTTCATTTCATATAATATTGGTACTTTTTTTCGATTTGATTAAAATTGGACTGGATTATTTCCTTTAAAAAAAATAAAAAAAAGTAAAAAGATCGGACCTGTTCATGGCTGAAGGCTAATGAGAATTTTTTTTTCTTTTTTAAGGATTTCAGTTTTGGCCAATTTGATAGTAAACAAAAACTTACATTAGATGATACCGTACGTCCAAGCCAACTATTCTACTTCCTTGCTCGACAAGATCAACCCCAAATTATCCATATAAATGATGGAAAAGATTTCAAACGTAATCTTGAATGATCAAGCAACAAACAACGGGATTCATTTCTTAGTTAGGTTTGTTGTGATCACAAGCAGGGATATTTTCGGTCCCATTGAGAAAAACATGATGCGGGTCCTTAATTTTATTTTAGTATTAAATTCAAAACTCTCTAATTTAGAGACAACCATACTGATCGTACTCTTTTGCTAATTACAAGCTTCTCCCTTGAAAGGCTTAACCTGAATTGTGGATGAAAAATAAAAAAGAAAAAAAGATTAAAAAAATATGGTTTTTCATTTTATTGACGTTAGGTTTTGCGAGTATAAAGTCACTGAAATCCGTGAGATGGACATAGCTTGTTGAATATGTGTTCATTCATATACAGCATTACAGAGTGTGGTAGAGGTAAAGTCAACTTCTTTGGGAGCTATTCATTTTCTCCAAATTATACAACATTTAAAAATATTTAATATAACCATTTAAGATATAACTAAAGTCAATATATGTTAGTCGTTAGAGAGAGAGAGAGAGAGAGAGAGAGAGAGAAAGCATAGAATTTCTAATTATTAGTGGCTCATTAGCTTGCCATTGACCGTTCAAAGTAGAAGGCCAATTTGACATTTTTTTGCCGCATTTTTAGTAAAACAGAAATTTGGTGCGCAGTCGTTACAGTCCGTTGTCAACTTTTTGCTATTCGGCAAAATCAACTTCAAATAAGTTAGACTTGAAAATGATGAAAAAGATTCCAATCGTAATTCTTCAACAATATTCATATACAAAGAACACCTTCCAGATTAACTTCCAGATTAATAAGATGGACTGGAATCAGAATTTTTCTTCTATGATCGATCGGTATAAACAATATTCAAGTTGGATCAGTTTCTCCTCAATAAATAAGTGCTTGGGCCAAAAAAATCCTACCTAATGGAGAAATAATTGAAGAGGTGACAAAACCCTACACTTTTCATTACAAAACCAATAAAATTGCTGATTATGGGCATGCTAATTTGTTGATTCTTGGATACGAAGATACCAAATGGGCTACATCAAACTGGCATGCCCAGTAACCCTTGTGTGGTATTTAAAACATCTTTCTAGTTATATCGCCAATCTTTTAGATAAGCCTCTTAAAGAATTAGAAGGCCTAGTATATTGCGATGCGTGATTTGATAAAAATTATGATTTACAAATGTTGAATGAGAAACAGTCATCCCATTCAACCAAATTAGGATGCCTAGATTTGACATGTCTCTTGGTAGAAGTAATATGAAACTTAGAATATAATTATAATTATGGGTATGTTCAATAATCACAAATAAAAAGGGGAATTGGGCAATGGAAATAAAAAGGGGAATTGGTCAATGGAAACTACGAATAGCAGCCCATAGTATGAACTAATAACAGTGATATATAGGTTCAGATCCTTTAGTAGTTTAGTGAAATTACAAATTCTACGTTGATCGTAACATAAACCCTTGAAAACGTATTCCATATGTAAATATAAGATTGCTCTTGGTCCCTGCTTGTCCCATATTGTGACGACCCTAAGTTTTGATCACTATCATATACTCATACTTAACATTACTTAACCTCTAACACTTACTAATTATAACCTCTTAAAATTCAGGCTAACTTTTTTTTTCCATGTACGTCTAAATGCTGTAGCATTTAGCTAGTCTTCTGTTTTCAAGTATTTGTAAAATGTTGTAGCATTCTAACAGCATTCTGTACATTAGTCATTGTCAAAATGCTGTAGCATTCTGACAACATTCTGTTATAATAGTCATACCTAAAATGTTGTAGCATTCTGACGGCATTCTGTTACATTAGTCATCAAAATACATAAAATACTATTTTATTTTACACATAATGTTCAGCAGCGTTTCCAAAACACGTGATGCATCCACAACCCACTTGCCCACACTCCACTGCTGCATCCTCTCTGCATGCCCAACAACAAGTTTCAGGGAGCTGGTGCCTAACCCGAGCTTCCTACAACACGAACAAACTTAATGAGCTTTCGCTCAGCAAGTATCAATAGGTCATAACAGATGCAATAATTATGCATACCCATATATGCATTCATGTCATATATCATAATACATTCTGTACTACCAAAACATGTATGGCTTATGTTCTTCTTCTTTCATTACATTCTTTGTTCTGCTTTCGTCTCATTTTAGTCGTTCACATCGTATTTTCACGTTCTGAACGACTTTCATTTCGTGTTTCTCATTCTTTTCATTCTTCTTTACAGATACCGTACCTTTATATGGAATGGTTTCTGTTTTTCATTTTCTTGTCTTTTACTTCTTATGGGCCCTGTCCTGTTGTACCATAGCGCGCATAACCAGTGAGGAGT